AAAAAAAAAAAAAAAAATTAATGTTTGTAAAATATATTGTTTTCATAAATATATTTATAAAAATAGAAGTTTCACATACAATCACATTATTTTTTCTTTAGAAAATTTAAAAATTTTCAGACATTTATATATTAAAAGCTAGTTATCTTTCGTATCCATTTACCTTCATCCTTTCCAGAGGACTCAGTTTCTTTTTCATGATTCTTTTTCATGTTTCTTTTTTTTCTTTTCTTTCTTCTTTGTGTCTTGTTCTATTTTTACCAGCACCTCTTCTTGCGTACCAGATGCTTCGCCTATCTCTTCCGGTACAGATTCTAAGTTACGCTTCTTCTTTTTTTTCGGTAAGGTATTCAACTGGTTTGTGCCTTCCGATAAGTGTTCTGAACTACGTTTCTTTTTTTTCTTGGGTACGGTATCTAGTGGTGGTTCTTCTTGTACACTAATAACTTCTGCTGCGTTCTCTGTTTGAGGCTCATGTTTCTTCTTCTTCTTCTTTTTCTTGGGTTCTTCGGTATCATTGGGTTCCTTCGGCTCTTCTTTCGCCTCTTCCTTCACCTCAACCTTGATTTCTTCGATCAACGGCTTCGTATTCGGCAGAGTCGAGTCCACAGATGTGGAATATTGCATGAATTCATTCTTGGTGTGATACTTTTCGAATTTAGCCTTTGCTTTAGCGGTGCCGCTGATCCGGCGCATATTGCCCGCCTCAAGTTGTTTCAATCGTTCCTCTAGCTTTACTTTATGATCTATACCCAGATCATAACTAGTGGTGTCTCCTAGGGCATCAACTCTCGCCGCTAAGGAGGCTTTTGCTGCCAACATTCTCGACATCTTACCCTTATTCTTGTTTGATGATTGTCCGACGAGCTGCGAGTGATAGATTAAACCATACTTGGGCGTATTTCTCTTTGATTTAAGCGCACGGAACAATGCCTTTTCCGCGCCGAGAATTTGCAAGGTAGATGCGGGTTGCTTGGCGAGACTCGTCAAAGAGCCGGATTTCGATATCAAACGTGCGCCAACCAGATCGCCGACGAGAACCGTTAAATTTGGTGCCAACGCCATCATTCTGGTTTTCAGATAATCGCACAGCTGGGATCGATATGAATGGAGCTCAATTATTTGGACACAGAGAAATTGCATGTGCGTGGCATCGTATTCTGTGATCTCTGAGCCCATTGAGGTCTCCGCAGCCTTCTTTACGTTCTCCTCGATATCCTCTGGCAGGATATCCGACAAATCGCACTTTTGCGTGTTTTCTCGCTGGCCAATGATCTGCATTGTCTTTACGTATTGGAAATTGTCCGTCACAATTTTGCCTAACTCAGGAAAGTGCCAACCATACCACTCGCGTGCCCGCATTATGTAATTATTCAGCTCCTTGTCCAACTCATCCAACAGACATACTCCTTGTATCACCATAGTATCAATTTTATCAGGCGAGAACTTGAGCTTATACCTTGATAGACTGTGCGCTAAGCCTAATGCCATAGCAGTCATTTCCTTCTTGGCCACCCCAGTTACCAAACTATCCATTTGACTCCTAATACATCTCATCAACTCCTGTATAGATGTGTTACTCACACAAGATAAATGTAGTTTGTCCTTGATTGCAGAGCCAAGCTTTGCATCTGCGACCGCCAATTGCTCTTGGAGCTCTGGACAACATTTCCTAAGAGTTTTCTTCAGAGATTTGGATAGTTTACCTTCCACAAGTGCTGTGGTAGCAGCTAATGCTTCTGTAGTATCTTCAAATTTATGAAAGTGTTGTAATTTAACTCTGTGAAAACAAAACCAAAGAATATTCAATAAATTGTATACAACAATATTTGCTATATAATAATAAAATTAATAGGGTATACTTCCGAAAAGCTATCACCTCCGATTTGGCTGAT